ACCACCAGCATCGCTTGCTCCCCACAAAAACAAGCTCTTTTTGGCCCAGAACGCGATCGCCAATCAGAAAATAAACCTGTTTAACGGAAAGTTTATCCAACTTCGCAGAATATCTTTCACCTTTTTGAATCAGCACTCAATCTGCATAAAAGTAGCTGTATTAGGCTGTTTATCAGACATATATTGCCGTACCACCAACGAAGAAACCCATTATCGTTTAGCAATTTAAGCTCTAGTAAATACAAAAAAGATAACATCGAACACTTTTCTCATCAGGTGGTCGACAGGATCCATTCTGCCATCATTTTTGGAATCGGGCTCTGCTTTTGGTTCGTAGTCAGTTCTCACAACAGATTTGTGTAAAGCTATGCCACTGTAGTTTTCAGAACTTGTGTTTGGCTTATAGTGAAGATGTGAATGAAATTCCTCTGTCGGGTAAATTTTGGCTCGAAATGTTTGCTAATAAGGGCGCGTCAGGACAAACCAGGCTTACTGGACTCTGAACTTGCCAATTTATAAAGAGAAACTGAACATGTACCAACTACCATTAGCCGAAGACGCGGTATAGGCATCTGACAGATGTCGACAGGATTTCACCTTTGTTCACTAACCGTTGGGTGATTAAATTAAAGCCATAGAGGTAAAGATACCAGGTACGCATCAGGCTAATATTTTTAGCGTGGATGCTACAACGGAATATGCACCAATGACTATGCCTGAAACCTCCCACCACTAATTTGGCCTTTTTTATCCATTGTTAGGTCACAGACGCAAGTGAACCGGATGTGCCCATGCAGATGTGTATCGCGCTGTCGCCCATGGGCACATGCATGCTTTTCGCGGATAGTTCGCCCACGTGTATAACCGATGTAACACCAAAAGGTGGCCCAAAAATCGGAAAAATTCAGTTTGATTTGGAGGCGGAGAAGAACAAGAAGAATAGGAAAGGTGATGATGACACTGACACTGACTGCACCCTCACCCTCTCCATGTACAGTCTCCTCACGGGTTCCCCTGAGTCCACCAAGGCCACAAACGCACCCTCAAAATTCGCCCTAGTCAAGTGTCGGGATCTCATTCTGCCATCACAGGTCCCACCCAAAGACTTTGTGGCGCCTCTTCTGCCTTCTGTGCTTTCAGCGGTCATTTCCTCCGACGACTCCATGATCGGCTGCGGACTGTCCAATGGTCGGCTGTGGATCTACTCACTAGATGAGGTCGGCTGGGTGGCTTGCATATCTACGGCGATCTCAGCGAAAGCGGACCCATTCACTGCGGCTCCAATCAGCACCAGGACTCCCCGTCCGCGCACCGACACGTCGCCTTTTCAACAGGCAGTAAGGCTTAGCCGAATACTT